GAGCGCAGTCCTGAGTACATTGTGAGGAAATCTCAAGCGGAAGCGGGGGCCCTGACTAAGTTGCGAGGAAGTCTCAAGCGGGAGCGCCGTTCCTGAGCAAATTGCACGGAAGTCTCAGGCGGGAGCGGGGGTCCTCACTAAATTGCGAGGAAGTCTCAGGCGGGAGCGCCGTTCCTGAGTCAATTGCGCGGAAATGTCAGGCAGGAGCGGGGGTCCTGAGTAAAATTCGAAGAAGTCTCAGGCGGGAGCGCCGTTCCCACGTAAATTGCACGGAAGTCTCAGGCGGGAGCGGGGGTCTTGATTACATTGCGAGGAAGTCTCAAACGGGAGCGCCTTTCCTGAGTAAATTGCGCGGAAGTCTCAGGCGGGAGCGGGGGTCCTGAGTAAAAATCGAGGAAGTCTCAGGCGGGAGCCGTTGTTGTTGTAGCCCGGGGGGCAGGGGCACAGTTTGAGCAGGAAGACTTTCCTTGAGAAAAAACAAGGTGCGAGCCCCGGGGGTGGCACTTCAATCGAAAAAAATCAATGTGCACCGGTGGGGGGGATCAAAAATAATTATTCTTCAAGAATGAGAGTTCAACAACAACAACAACAACAACAACAGCCTCAACAAGCAGAATCCGCGCCGCGGAGTCCCACTTCAGCCACGCACCCAGGGACAGTGACTGACCGGTCCCGCCCCTCACTCTGATACTTGTGCCATATATGTATATATGTATATAGATATATACTTGAAGCACGCGTGCGCTTCGCGCGCGCTTAGGTTCTAGCGTGAACTCGCTCAACAGCTCAACAACGAACGGGTTAGAGTCAACTCTCAAAGCCCAATCGCCACAGATCGCCAGATCGAAGGCTCTCATCGACCTCGTCATGGTCAACACCGTCTTATGGCTCATTGCCCTCTCCCCCTCCCAAGTGTCATCTTGATGTCTCCTCCATTGCTTTCTCTGCTCCTCTTTCTCTCATCCTCTTTCTCCCTCTCTCTCTCCACTTCTTTCTCTCTTTCCATCATTCGTCTTCTCCCCCTCTGTTACTCCACTTTCCAACATCTAATCCCATCGTTTCTCAGATTCCGCCACAGTCTCCCCACCCCCGCACATGTTCCTCTCTCTCTCTCCTTGGGTTCATCATCCTGATCATCGCCATCAAGACATTCATGCCTCGAGGCGGTAATTGTAGCAAGGATGACAGGATGAGTCGGGTACGCTCTCTTCCCCTCCCCCTCTCGCTCCTCTCAAGTTCCAACCCACTGGCTGCATTCCCTTCCTCCACATCCCGAGCATTAGAACGCACTGCTCGCTCGCTCCCGATGAGGGTGTTGAGGGGAATCCTGCGGCTCTTTGGTGCTGGGGAGAAGGGGGCCCGCATAGGGGGCTCTTCTTCGGGAACGGCTGGTGCGAACATCTTGGAAGCATGATTACTGGGGAAGCGGGGACATGTTGGACGCTCTATCGGAGCTCTTGTGGGCCGCCTGAGGGTTCTCTTGGGCCATCTTGGGGCCGCCTCGAGGCCTTCTTGAGGGGCACTTCGGGCGTATTGTGGAGCGACTCGGGAGGCCCCCTCGGGCCGCCAGGGACGTCGTGGGGTCCGCTTGGGCCGTCTTGGGGGGCTCTGGAGCTGCCCGAGGGCCATCTTAGACGCCCTGCTGGGGCCCTTTGAGGCTCTCTTGGGCTGCATTGGGGCCTTCTTGGATTACCTTGGGGTCCTCTTGGAAGACTTCGGGGCGGTCTTGGGGCGGCTTGGGGAGCCCCTCGGGCCGCTGTGGGCGGTCAGAAGGAAGACACAGTGAGAACGCTAAAAACATAAAAAAAAACCGAATGGAAATGCACAAGTTTGACCTCTCGAGCCTCCCTTCGGGAAGCTCCCGGAGCCCCCTCGGGCTGTCTGGGGGCGCTCTAGAACAGACCTGGGGCTCCCATAAGCCTCTGTGAAGCCGTCTTGGGCCAAATTGGGGGCCGCGTGCGGGCCTCTTTGGGGCACCTGGTGGCCCTGGGAAGCTCGACGGGACCCCCGGCACGCCAGTCGGCAATCGAGGCTCTGTCCTGGGGATCCCCGGCCTTAGTGTCCCGTTAGATCTCTACGGCGGCCCCTCCGAAGGTCATACACATCATCTTGAATCGTATGCGTCTTCACCCCCTTCGTACTCATCTTTCCAACATGTACCTGCATTGTGCCTGCGCGTTGTCCTTCTGCTCATGCATCCAACTCCCCCTCGCCTTCCACACATTCTCCTCGTCATACTCCTGATAGGTTCTCATCAGACTCCTCCTTCCTATTCAGATCCCCCTTCTCCTCCTCACCCTCCTCTTTCTCTTTCTCCTCTTCCTCCTCATCCTCCCCCGCTCCACCATCATGACCAAACTCGTCATTACAGGTATCATTAGTTAGCATCAGCAGCATCAGCATCACCAGTTCTCTTCGTTGCCACTCCCACGTATCTCTCCCCCTCCTCATGTTCCTCCTCCTCCTGCTCCTGCTATCCCTCCTCACCCCCCTCCTGCTGAATCCGCCTCCTCCCCCATGTCCCACAAGCATGATTGTTCTTCGTACTCCTCGTCGCTGAACGTCCCTCCCTCCCCCTTTTCCTACTCCCCCTCTTTCTCCTCCTCCTCCTCCTCCTTCTCAGTTCACTCCCACATCGGCCTCCTCTTCCTCCTTGTCGTTCGCCTTCCCCCCCCTGCTCCGCGCCATCCTCATCCTCCCTCACACTCCTCGTCCTCCTCCTCCTCCTCCTCCTCCACATCCTCCTCCTCCTTTGCTCTGACTCCTCCTGCTGTTTGCGTTCTTCACCCTCCTGGTCGAAGGGGGAGGAAGCGTGAGATGATGAGGAACAGGAGGAGCGAAGAGGAAAAGAAGGAGGAGGAGGCGGAGGAGGAAGAGAAGGAGGTGGAGTCGGAGGGGAAGCAGGAAGATGATGAGACGGATTGAGGATGACGAGGGAGGCAGGGGAAGAGGGGGAGGGAGGGTAGCATGATCGGCGAGAGTCAGCAGGAGGAGCAAGAGGAGAAGGGTCATGGGGAGGGTAGAGATGCTGATGCAGATGCTGATGGTGATGATGAGTATGATGATGATGCTGTTGATGATGCTGTTGTTGTTTTCATGATGGTGATGCTGATGCTGATGATGCTGAGGATGATGCACTTTTCCGTCATTGGGTGTGCTCTGATAGTGAAGGGATCCATGTGTCTTCCGCAGCAAAAGAAATTTCATGAGAGCCCGCAGCAAATTGGTTTACAAGCCGCCGCAAGAGGAACCCTTTGGCAACCCCATACAACATGAATCAGCTTGCAAGTCGCCGCAAAAAGGATCGTTCTGTAATCCCCAACAGAAGCAATCCTTATGCAAGCCACCTCAGACGGAATCCTTTTGTAATCCCCTGCATACAGAATCCTTGTGCAAACCGTCACACAAGGAGTCGCTTTGTAATCCGCCACGAATGGAACCCGTGTGTAACACGCAACCGAGAAAATCCGGTTGGGGAGCTGCCACGACCAGGGGTTCGTTGACATCTGGATAGGGTGCAATTTTGTTGTTCCTCTCCCCGCCCATGGAGGTTGAGTTGTTGTTTCAGCTTCCCATGTGCAGGGCAAGCGTTTCCATATGTTCCTGCTTTTCCATGGTCTCGTCCTGGGACGAGGGGCGGGTGCCGCGGAAACGAGGGGTCGGAAGAACATGAAACAAACTTTACCAGAACAAACAAGCTTGGCCTGCACAAGATAACCAAACTCCCTTGTCCCCTCGACTCCAGAATCACGCTCTCGCTCTGGATTTCCTCACGATTCCTTGGGAATCGCGCTATCGCTCAAAACTTCCTTGCGATTCATGTTGGATTGACGGTCAACGACCCGCCAGCTCGACCCGGCCGTCTGGGGCCGATCGATCTCACACCGACCTCACAATCACACCAGCCTCAGAATCGATCTATCGATATCGTGGTCTATCGATCTCGTATCTCTCTTTCGATCTTACTACCTGTACATCGACCTCACTAGCCTTGTAGCTGTCGACCTCCATGTCGATTGATCTCAGTCTCAAACCACTTTCGATCTCTCGATCGGCAGCACTCTCAATATAGACAGATGTGTTGAACTATTTGAGTAGATCACTCTCGTTCTATCCATCGGGGCAACCATCGGAACAACCGACGCATTTTGTTTGCTGCATGTTGACCGCAATCCCGAGGCGCCAAAAGTGCCGAGCGTATTATTTGGGACAAAATTCAGCGGGACCACCATCGGGACAACCCATCATCGGGACAACCATCGGGACAACATTCGGAACCGCCATCGGGACGACGATCAGGACCATCATCGGGACCATCATAGGGACAACCATACCCAGACAAGCGTTGGAACATGCATCGGGAACATGCATCGCTGGAACATACCATTGGCACAACCACGGGACAAGCGCAGGCCAACCGGGAGACACCCACGGGAAAACCGCGGGACAACCGCAGGGCGCAGGCCAAACGGACGAAGCTAGCAATGGCGGGATCACTCCTCTAGGCTACGCACGCAGCTTCGCCTCGCCCGTACCCATGACGCAAACGCGAAAGCGAATTCCAGGTGGGTCGCACATTTGCTATTCGATCTTACCCCTCAACCTCTGTGACTCTCTCTTTCCCCCAAACCTCCACATTGAGGAGGTCCCTTGATGAATCTGTGAAAGTCCTCCCAGACAAGATTCTTGAGATGCTGGATCCTTTGCGGAGGTTTAGGCACTGCGAGGGACTCGCTAGAGGCCCTAACAGGGTCAAGAACGTAAAACCACCTTCCTCGATCTCTTCCTCCTGGATCCAGTTCCCCCAAACTCCCGACGTCGTGATTCTTCACGGCGTTGCCTTCGTGAGGGCTCGACGCTCCCTTGTCCGGGACCCGCTTTTCATCCCGATTCGCTCACCCCCAGGGTCCCGGTGAGGATCCCCCCCCCGCGGGCCGAAAATGACCCAAAACCTTCCGTCGCCACTCTGTTCGGGACGCCGTCCCACGGTGCACGGCCGCCTCGTCTGCGCCCTCGCCGTAATTGATGTACAGCGCCATCGGGCGGCTTCCGACCTGGCTCCTGGTGCCTCTGGGCCCTGCGGGCTCTTCAAAGGCAGCACCAAAGGGGGTCACCACGGGGGGCGCCAAACCCCCCAAGGAACAGACAACCCTGGACCCCGCTGAAGACCACATGACTCCTGAAGGCGACCAAAAATGTCCAACACCACATCGGTCATCGATCCTCTGGGAGGCAACGACACACGGGGACCACCTCAGCGGGGGAACTATCGAGCTGGAATCGGTGATACATCGCTGGTAGATCGGCGACAGGCCCCCGATAGCGACACCGCTCGTCGCAGGGCGGAGTGGGCCATCGGGCCCCTATGGGCGATTGGGGTCCGATGCGTTCCCCCCATGGCCTGTCCCTAACGTTGCCCCTGATCCTCTTTCACCCTCGACCCTCCGTTCCCTGGAGGAGGTGGGACCTCCCCTTTTGGCGGCGCGCACAACAGGGTGGCGGCCCGCGCCTTCTAAGGAGCAGGGGTGCTTCTAAAAAACCTCCCCCTTCCCCCACACCCCTGCGCGTGGCTGACGGATCGTCCTTCCGCCCCGACCGTCGGCTCCATAGACAAGATGGTGGAACCCCCTCTTCTGGTGACCCCCCCTGGGCGCGCTGCCCGATCCTCGCGGCTGGGCGCCCGCGCGCCGCGCCGCGAACCCGAGCGCAAGCCCTTGAGCAGCGGAGGGCTGCTGTGGGCGTGATCGGGCCAAAAACGGCTGTGGACCTCCTCCTTTTCGTCGTCCTCCTCCTCCTGAGAATATGATGGTGACCATTTTCCCTGGAAGCAAACAGAACTTGAGCCAAACGCCAAGATCATGAATCCTCGGGTGTCTGACTTTGCGGCTGCATCGGTACTACAATCACACTGGTCAATCCTGCTCACCCAGTCGAAACGCTACAGTCAAACGTCCCCCATCGGCTGATAAGCTAAACGTGGACACGGACGATATATAAGCAGCAGAAGCAACTGGCGAACGGATGGGATCTAAAGAAGTACGCTGCGCAGCGGCGCAGCAAGGACTCTAGCTCAACAGGGCAAATTATATAGCGAAGTGACTGAAAGCACAACTGGTGCAAACAGAAGGCGGCTATGACTTGGGAGTGAACGTGCAGGGCCCTCCCAACCTGCGAAATACTATTCTTCAATGCCGCAAAAAAAACACGTCATGCAACACTGTTGATATGTTTATATATAAATACAGATATATATATATATATGATTACGTTTAGATTTAGATCTCGTAACCGAACACCTGCTTATGATCCGATGCTGAGCCTGAGTCCCCGGCAAACCGGAATGCGATGATGGCACGGACATGGATTCAGCCAGAACCCCGTAGCGGGCGCGAACTCGCGTCTTCTCGTTAACTACATCGTTTGATTGGTACCTCGCATATGCATGGACATGCTGTCCCTACTCATGTTTTTCGCCAAAGCACCTGCGAGGTTCTCATGAGTTCCTACTTTGATCACGTTGGTGCCTGCTCGTCGTACTTTTTCTTGTAGCCAAAACACGCAAACCTCAATGTGTCAGACTTGTCCCAGCCCTCGCCGGATTGCAATGGCACTGGCGGCGCTGGCACCGCCCCGTAACGAAATAACGCAATCAGCATCGCAATCTTTGAGAACTGCTTGTAGCCCTAAACCTGTTGAGCCCCTTTGCACCGTTCTTATCAAATCTGATCCCCACATTCGTAGCCCTCCGCTACATTGCTCACGTGTAATTTTGCATCCCGCAGAATAACTGTCAGCCCGCACGGTTAACTCCCTAGGACGCTTTTGGTGCAAATACTGATGCCCAGACACACCTGCGCGTCTCAGGTTCCGAAATCACTTGGAACGGTCCCGGGATCCTTCCGACACCCTGACACTCACCGTTTCCGGTTCCAGAAACACTATGGAACGGTTCTGGGGTGATTTTCCTTTTGAGACCTTCGGAACCAGACTCTAGAGGAGAGCTCCAGCAGTTCAGTGGCGAGAGGCCTCTCCGAGGCTCACGGGCGCAAACGTCCCAAAACGGTTCCCCTCCCGACCCCCGCTCCAGGAACATCGGAGGAAAGAGGGTGGAGCAGCCCCAGAGCAGCGGAGGGCCCTCGGGGGTCCGAGCCGCGCCCAGCCGTGGCGGCGGGAACCTCTGGAAACGGCGAAACGACATCCGCGACGACGACGTCGACGAAGACGCCGACGGTCATCTCCGCTGCTCCTGGAGCGCGCTGCGCTCCCTCGTCCACCCCGAGGAAGAATGGAATGGAATGGAACGGAACGGAACGGAATGGAGCGGGAGGAAGGAAGAGGAGAGATGGGGAGCAGGGATGAGGAGAACGGGGAGGATGATGGGGGAGGAGGAGAAGGAATAGGAGGAGGAGGAGGAGGAGGAGGAGGAGGAGGAGGGGATGGCAGCGTCTGAATGACCCACATGCCGTCGGTACTCAGTAACCAAAGACAGGAGGAGAAGGAGGAGGAGAAGGAGGCATAGGAGGAGGATGGGGGAGCAGGAGGAAAAAGGGTGGGAGGAAGGAGTAAGAAATGGAGGATGAGGGGCAGGAGGAGGAGGGAGGAGGGAGGAGGAGGAGGAGTAGGACGAGAAGGACGAGGAGGAGGAGGAGGAGGCGAAGGAGGAGGAGGAGAAAGAGAAGGAGGAACAGGAGGAGGAGGAGGAGGAGGAGGAGGAGGAGGAGGAGCCACGAACCGCCAGGCGATTGAGGAGTGTAAGTGGCAGTGTGTCTATCGTTCGGCCACGCGAAACAGAGATCCGTTCATCCCTAACCCATTACATCATCTCACCCCCATGCGTTTGGCATCTCAGTTCGAATCCTTCACTCGTACACTCGTATATGCTGGTTCTCGCCCTCGCGCCACGCCGCGCCACTACGTAGCACCACCACGACTTCGCCAATGGCCACGTACGACAACACGAGCACCACCTGTACGGCTATGGCGGCCAAGCAACCGCCCTCCAGCTCCTACGCTGCAGCACGCTGCAAGCACTAGCACACCGACTTCGTCGACTCCAAACTCTGCCTGGCGCCGCCGCGGGCGGGAACAGCGGGCAGCAGCACGCACACTGCGACGAGTTGCATCAGCGCGCACCTCACTAGACTACAGTCGAAGCGTTGACCTAAGGAACCCTAAATAAGGAACGAGGCCCCTTTTTTCCATAAGTTAAACTTCGATTTCCCATCGAAAACATAAGGAACACCTGAGGCGAGCTGCGAAACAATCAAGGAGCGTGGAGCCCCTCCCCAACGAAAAGGGTTCCTTCTTCAGCAGCTTCACGCAGCTCGCCAACCCCTCGACGACCACCGCAGTGCTCAACGACCACCAAGATTCTCGACCTATGCATCGTATAGCCACGCACGGACGCCCCGCGCCAAAAGCAAAAGCAAGGGGAAACACCAACACCAGCAATGCAACAACAAGGGAAACATGACCCACTTGGCAATCAATCGGCCATACAAGCCGCAATTACCTGTCCGGCCAAAAAAACAACATACCAACCGACACCAAGACAACCCTACCAGCAGAACGCGACGACACCTACCAGCAGCCGACCAGAGCACCATGGGAGGAAAAACGCGGCGCCCACCTCCCGACGAGACGACTACGTGCCATAACCAGTCTTTGGAGCCACCTCTGGCCATGTGGCATACACGACACGGAAGAAAGCCAGACGCCAATTGACGACATACCACAATAATTGCACAATAACGTCCTTCAGAGAGACAGGCCGGGAGCTACACCAATCGAAGTCGGGGCCTGGCAGGCGACAAAATCAGCCGAGCTACACAAACTCGCCGCGCAGGTAATTGCAGTCGTAAGGGTAGGCGAAGATGTACTCGGCCGTACGACGGCCAGACGGGATCTATTCCGATACCCACGCACGACCGACTTATTACACAACGCTAAATAGTACGACGAGCGAGTTTTGACATGCAACCTACAGGGAGTACGGGCACACCAGCAGTATCACACACAGTACTTAGTAGACGTACAGAGGCACAGTGAAGACGAGTCCTTACGTGCGCCACGCAAAGCACCGCCAGCTGGCAAGCCATCGTAACTGTCCTTACATTGGAGCACTGGCAACGCGGGCAGCGTCTAACCACTATAAGTCCGCATCTAGTACAGAGCCTCATTCCCCGCGTGGGAGCCCTGGGGGGCATGCCTAGGGGAGAGGCGCAAGTGCGACAGTGTCCACAGGGCGTGCACCTACTGAGCCTACCGCCACCCCCCTCACCCCAACCTGCAGATCATTTCACATGTGGCGGATTGGCTTAGAGATGGGGGTGGGTGGGGTGGTGTGTGTGTTGGGCGGCGCTGCAGGACCTCGCAGATTGCATCCGCCGCTGCGCGGATCTCTGCGCGCGAGCTCCCCTCATGATCAGGGGGCCCCATGCCGCTTGTGATTTCACTTTGCACCGTTGCGCGCTGCGCGCGGCCAGCAGACGCTTGTCTGCGCCTGCTTGGCACCGTTGTGCGCTACCTACGGCCAGCGGCTTACTTTCTATTGGGAGGGACTAGCTGGATACGGGGGATGGACTCGCAATCGGCATACCCGCACCTGTAGTGCGGCCACAGAGTGCAGGACAGGGCGCATCGCCCGTTGCGCTCGCACATGTGGGTCAGGGTGGATCGCCCACTGCATGTTCCGCGCAGTTCCCCCCCTTGCTCCGACCAACTCGACTTTCCCCGTGTACGCCGACTTCGGCAACACACTGCTGTCATCAAGCGACGACTACTTGACCAAACGCCAGAAGCAGAAAAGCTACAGTGCATACGACGACTCGAAGACGACTGTGCTGCATGCGCCAAAATATCAGAAGCAACGCTCAAACAAACACGACACACGCACGACGCAAACATACTCAAGACCAAGACCTGCGCCAACACCGAAAATAACTAACAGACAACATGCATCCAGCCTTGACTCACGAGCACAGGACATACAGCGTGGCGACTGCCCCAGTGGAACGGCCACCACTTGACCCACACAAGCTGGCCAAGCTCGCTAAGACAGATACGAGAGACGAGAAGGGGACGCTCTGGCCGAAGGTAATACTACGCTTGGCCAACGACAAGCCTAATGACAACGACGGGACAATTGAAAAACACAGGGAAGCTCAAAAAGGCAAAACGACAACGCCTGGAGACGGCTCACTGGCACGACTACAGGCTGCAGACTACCGTGCGGCAGATACAAGAACCCAGCGACCACCTGTCTAACAACTATCCCAGGGCCAGGGGATTTAATCAAACACTGCGCACATAAGAACTACATCCACAAAGACTGAAGCAACACTACGACAAGAATAATAAACACTACCCGACACAGACCGAGCACTCTTCAAAAAGAGCAACGGCACCATCAGACATCCATGCCAAAAACAACTACTACTCCACTGCGCACAAACACACCGCCCTTCAAATCTGCAAACGTAAGCTACCATAGCAACACTACGACAAGAAAAACGGAAACAAGCAGGGCATCAGAAAAGAACAGCAGCGACGCAGCACAAGTGACCGACAAAAGACTACAGTACGACAAGCCGAAAACAGTCACTGAAGAACGCATGCAGCAAGCGACTCAACAAATCCACCGATCCGGCGTGTGCGTTTAAGGGGGAGGGGGTGACCAGGGTGGCTCTGCCGGGGTAGGGGGGGTGTCCAGTGGCGCGGGTTCCGGAAGCGGGGGGGGGGTCGGGTCCCCCGTCCTGCTTGTGGACAGGGGGGATTGGGGGAAGAGGGGGGCGGCGGGGTTCCGGCGGCCCGGGTTCCGATGGCGTGGGGGAGGGGAAAGGGGGGTTCCGTGGCGTGTGAGTTTGAAGGAGCCTCAGGGGGGGGTGCCTCACAGCCTCTGGGGGGCTCTGCCGGGGAAAGAGGGAAAGAGAAGTGGAATGGGACAAGAGCGGAAAACGGGGAACATATGGGGGGAAGACGAGGGTGTCGGTGAAAGGCGTGTTTGTTGTGTGGTATGCGTGTGTGTTTGTACGGAGTGCGTGGTGTGTGTGTGTGTGTGTTTGTGTTGCCGGCGTGTGCGTGTGTATGTGCCTGCGAAGGTGGCGCGCGTGTGTGCGTGTAGTGTGTGTGTGTGTGTGTCTGTGGGTGTGTGTAGTGTATGTGTGTGTCGTGTGTGTGTGTGTGTGTGCGCGTGTGTGCGTGCGTGTGTGCGCGTAATGTCTGCGAGCGTGTGCGTCCGCGCCTGTCGGTGAAGTGTCGCCGCCCAAGCTGGGGGGCACCCCAAGCGAACCAGATCGACGGCACTGCCCGAAGGCCACTACAATACATCAGCACTACTTACTGCAATACAAAAAGGAAGCACAACAAGCCTGACCATGCCAACTAACTCCAGAACGCAAATATAATCACTCCTGGAGCAAGGCCTAGCGCAAAAAGAACAACAAGCCAAGCGGTACGCACTGCAGGACGAGAGCCACGAGGAGCAAAACGCATCCGACATAATACAACGTGAACAAGCAACTGACGCCTTTGACAAAACTTTCACTGCAGCATAGGAAGCAACTCATACAGCACAACGGCCACAACACGCAGAGAGCAGCCTCCTGATCAAATGCAGAGACCAGGAGGCCGCACACCGGCAGGTGCAACGGAACGGCTACACGTGGCCAGCCAGCATTGCCCACCGAGGGGCGCTGCAATCGGACGACTGAAGTTTGCCTGACATCGGAGGAGGAGGGAGGCAGTGAGGAGGAAGATGATGAGGGGGGATAGAGGGAGCGAGAAAGTGGGGTGGTGCCCACCGCATCCCCCCCAGACGGCGGGGCAGCGAAGGGCCTCCCTCTGGCGAAGGTCGGCGCAAGTGCGCTCCAGGACCACCGTGCGGTCGCCTCCGCCGACGGGCAATCGCCGTCATCGTCGCCGTGGCCGTGGCCGTCGCCGTTAGATGTCATCGTCGCCGCCTTCGAAGAGGGAGGGAGGAGGAGGAGAAGGAGGAGGAGGAGGAGGAGGCGGAGGGGGAGGGGGAGTGGGAGGAGCAGAACGACTAACTGAAGGGAACAGGACAACAAGGAGGAGGAGGAGGAGGAGGAGGAGGAGGAGGAGGAGGAGGATGAGAGAGAGGGAGAGGAAGAGAAATAACAAGAGAGAGGGAGGAGAGAGCGAGGAACAGACGATAGTCGTTCGAATGACAAAAAAGCCAAAGAGGGACGCTGCCCAATGCTATGAGAGAATAAGAGCAATCCGCCACCGTGCCTCTGGGCATAGAGTGGGCGTGTCCTCAGGTCCTCTGCCTAAGCCCTGGAGCCTCAGTCCTCAGTCCTGAAGGGTCTTGAAGAGACCCAGACCCACATTTCAAATTTGGCGGGGCTTCCCGAGGTTCCCCTGGGGTTCCCGGCGTGCCTTCTGGGCCCAGCCGCATCTTGTTGCATGACTATTCCGGACCCCAAGGCGGCGAAGAGGGCTCCGACTCGCCCAAAGATCGCCCCAAGGCGCCCAAGATTGCCCGAAGACGGAGGCCTCCAAGACGCCCCCAGAGGCCTCGAAGAGGCCTCCCAAGAAGGCCCCAAGAGGCCGAAATCATTGATTTGCCTTAGGGTTCTGAAAGATGTTGGTGTTCTAGCACGTTCGGCTTCCCGACGCTCCGAGACGGCCCAAAAGGCCCCCAGGACCCAGACGGCCCAAGGGGCCCCCACGAGGGCCCCAAGACGGCCCAAGAGGGCCCCAAGACGGCCCAAGACGGCCCAAGAGGGATCCAAGACGCTCCAGGAGGCCCTAAGATGCCCCAAAGAGGCTCCAAGAGGCTCACAAGAGGCGCACAAAAGTCCTCAAAAGGCCCAACAAAAACGGTTAGCTGTACCGACAGGCCGTACCGTCAGAGCCTCGCCCCCTGAAGGAGGGCTGGCCGCACTCGTTGAATAGAAGATCGACTACACAATGGATTTCCCCATGAAATCGGCGGCGCGCCTCATCTAACCTGATGAATCCGCTAGGATCTCTACAGATGCTAGCTCTGGTTGGGGACCAGGACACGCATCCAAAACATGGATCCGCGATCCTCGAGGGCGTCGTGCACCTCTGAAGGCATCCGAGAGCCGCAGAAAAGGCTTCCTGCGAAGAGCCTTCGGCGGTCGCGAGGGCGATGCTGTCCGGGTCGATGCTGGGCACCTCGCAGGTCCTGGGGCTTGCAGAGGAGGGAGGATTTGGGATAGAGGAGGGTAGAGAAGAGAAGGAGGAGGACGAGGAGGAAGAGCAGGATAGGGGCGCTGGAGGAAGAGGCACGCGGAGGATGACTTTCCGCAGGAGAGGGGGGCGACAAGGGGAGAGGGAAGGCCCCTGATCCTCCTCCTTCTTTTCTCCCCTTCCTGCTCCCCTGTCCTCCTCCTCATCCTCCTCCTTTTCTTTCCCTTTTCATCGTCGTCCTCCTCCTCATTCGATCATGGATCGAAGGATGGTCAGGAATTAGAGCGGGGAGAAAGGAGAAGGGGAACAGGGAACGTAGACGACAGAAGGCATAATTTGTCGAATGGAGGCGGGGGGAGGGTGACGGGATGGGTGGGTGTGTGGGAGGAAGTGGAATAATTGGTGAGTGGAGGAAAGAATGGGAGATGAGGACAAAAAGGGGAAAAGTCAGGAGGGATAGTTGGGACGAGCGAGGGGCGAGAACAAGATGGAGGCGGGGGCGAGGATGACTAATAATGGGAGGAAGAGGAGGAAGGCATAGGAGGGCGGTGACGATGGCGATGCTGATGGTGGTAGTGGTGGTTATGATGATGATATTGATGCTGAGGATGATGCTGATGGTGATGGGGATTATGATGACGATACGGATGATGATGATGATGATGATGATGATGATGATGATGATGATGATGATGATGATGATGATGATGATGAGGATGATGATGATGATGATGATGATGATGATGCTGAAGATGATGGTGGTGGTGATGATGATGATGATGATGATGATGATGATGATGATGATGATGGCGATGATAGTGATGGTGGTGTTAACGGTGGTGGTTACGGCGAGGCCACGAGCGCTCACGCACAGGACACTACCGCTCTTGAATCGCGGCGAGCAGCTGCGCCCTGCGGACGGACGAGGGGGGACCCGAGGATGGATGGATCGACGGAGTCCCCCCGCCGGGGCGGCATGCGAAGCCCTCGGGCGTGTGCTTCTTTCGACAGGTGGCCGCGAGCCTGGCGGCGACAGCTCGCGGCAGAGGTCCACGCCGACCCGCCGCTGGCCGACCGACCGACCACGGCGGCATCTGGCCATCGCTCGGACGTCCATTCCCTGTGTTTTTTTTTCGGTTTCGTGCCTGGTTTTTCGCCACATGATCAAGGATGCCCCTCAATGGTCCTCGCCGAAGGAAAAATGCACATGTCCGAGCGATGCCAAGGCATAGGACGAACTGCGGACTGCCGCGCTGTTCGTCGGCCCTCCGCCGCCTGCCGCGGAGCCTCGCGCGGTCTGCGGCAGCGGACTCCCTGCCGCCGCAGGATGGGCGCCCCGCGCGTGCCGACGCGCCGCCGCCGGCGAGAGCGGCCACCGCCATTGGGCACTGCAGCCCAGAGTTGTCCGGCGCACTGCAGGGGCTGATGATGGGCAACTTTTCTACCACCGCTACCAGATGTAGGACGGGGGTAGAAGGGAGGATGAGGAGGTCCTCCTCCTCCTCCTCCTCCTCTTCCTCCTCCTCCTTCTCCTCCTCCCCCTCCTCCTCCCCCTCCTCCTCCTCCTCCTCCGCCTCCCTCCTCCTCCTCCTCCTGCTCCTCCTCCTCCTCCTCCTCCTCCTCCTCCTCCTCCTCCTCCTCCTCCTCCTCCTCCTCCTCCTCCTCCTCCTCCTCCTCCTCCCCCTCCCCCTCCCCCTCCTCCTCCCCCTCCTCCCCTCGCCTACCTATGGCAGCGGTGGTGGAAAATGGGCCCATCAGCTGCGTGGCACGCCCTGCCCGCGGAGCCCTCTTCGGGGCGCCGATCCTGGGGCCCGCGGGCACCCAGGGCCAGAGCGGCGCGAGCCAGGGCGCGGGCACGGGCACGCTCACGGGGAGGCAGCCACTCCTCCAACCCTCCGCCGGCAGGGCCCCCCGGGACGCCCCGACCGTCAGGCCCAGCCCTCGCCTCCCCGAGAGGCGAGAGCCGAGCATGGGAAACTGATGCCGCGACTCCCCGGGCCTCGCCCGTGGCGCGTTCTGACCAGGACTGCGAGCGAGTCCAGCGATGGCGACGAGGGCCTCCCAGGAGGCCCCGAAGAGGCGATGAGGAGGCAGACGTGGCGGTGTGGGTACCTTTTGTTCCTCTTGACGAGAAGCCACACCCGAGCTGGCCGCGCCGGCAACCGACGTCGAGCACCACGCAGCGGTCCCAGGGCCCAGCCGACAACGCGCCCACTCACGGCGCGCTCGTGGCCCATTGGCGGCCGACCCTCTGCGCCCTGCACCGCGCACCGGGGGCTCGCCCGATACGGCGGCTCCAGGCGACGGCGCCGCCTCTCCGTCGGTGTGGCGGCGCCGCTGCCGGCCGGGAGCAGTCGCCTCAGGTCCCGCGCGCTCTCGAACACGTGGGTCGGGCGGGTGGTACCCTCGGCCCGTATCATAAGGATGGGCGATGAGGATGCAAGGGCCTTGGAAGGCCATGTCGAAGCTTCTCGAACGGGACGCGGCCCACGAAAGTGGCCAAAGATGGGCCGAGGAGGCAAGGATGCGAGGGTACCCTTGGAAAGGTTGCCCATCCTCACTACGCGGGTCCAATGGGGGTGACCTACATGGGGGAGTGAAAAGAAAGCGCCGTTTTCTCCGCGTTCCACGCAAGGCGCGGTCATTACTAGCCCGAATGGGTCGGAACGCCACCCCGGCCCCCAGCCGGACGTGACTAAGGCCGACCACGCGACACAGGCCCGCCTCGCGACTCCCTGCAGCTGGCCGCGGGGGCAGATACCCACGCTGCCACCGCTGCGCTGCAGCAGAGAACGTCACCGAACTCCGGCGGCGGGACCGCGCCAGCGGCACCGCCCCAACCGAGTCCAGATCAGCCCGCGCCGTGACGTTCACGAAGTGACAGCTGCACTCTTGTCAGCGAGTCACGCCGCAGCGCGGCCGCCACCTCGGGGCTGCCGAACCAGGAGGAGTGGCGACACTCGAAGGTGTGGCGCAGGGCCGGCCACGCGGGCGCCCGGCCTGGGGCACGCAGGAGGACAACGCAATCGTCGAGGCTGCGGAGCGATTCGGCACTGAGCTCGAAAGAAAAGCCGAGCAACTAAAGACACCCAAGCAGGATACCTGCCTGCGCTGGCGAAGGCTTCGTACTTGTTTTGCAGCTAGGGCCACACATACACCAGATCCTCCATGCCCACATTATAGGTGGTAGAACCTGACACCTTCGCGGTCACGCGTCGTTTCGGGCGATGGTGATTGGCCGCGTGCCTCTCGCCGCCACGGTCGTGAAAGGTGCTGTTGACCACTGCAAGTTCACCGAGCTTCTTATTTGGTTCGTCTCAGGGGAAGCGACCTCGGAGTAGCCTCCTCGGGAAGGGGCGCAAGGCTCTTCCAATGTTTTTGCTATACCTGAGCCATCCCATGCCAACGTTTCCTTCGTAGCGAAGAGCAGGGCCGTAGCGGAGGAGAAAGTTCAACGGCTGTGGCGCAGAGAAGGGAAATGGAGGATACCTGTGCGGTGCGACCAGGTGATCCTTCCCAACGGTCCCACAGAACAGCTGGGGAGCAGCTGGCGTTGATCCCATTCTGAGAACCCCCGTCCTTCCATGAGAACCGGGGAATAGCTGGCAAATCAACCGCGAGCGTCACATTCAACGTGTAACGTTTGGTATGCACGTGTGGGCGTGAGCAAACAAGGAAGGGCCCAGATTCCAGATGGATCTTGAGCCACAGAAGGAAATGCAGCGTTCTCCATATGTATATACCTATATGAATCGTACCAAGAGGGGCCCACACGGGTCACGCACACAGGCCTAGAAGGGCGCTCTAGAGTGCTCTACGAAGGCCAGTGCCGCACGCGTTATACTGTAGAAGTGCCGATCCATTGTCTCCTTATTTGGGGGGGGGCTCGGCCCGGGAAAAGCCCGAACGATCCATTCCACTATTTCGGGAGCGGGGGAACCGTCGAGGCCGAGACGAGAGGCAGGAGACACAGGAGGCACTTCAGGATGGTATACAAGCCTCCACACAACTGGAGAAGTAATATAGTGAGAGAAGTCGTCTCGGCAGTCTAAACAGGGAAAACCTGCAACTCACAATCTCACCAGCGTGAAGCCTCGCCCTGGTCAACCAACCTCCTACTATCGTCTTGAGGACCGCACTCTGCCACGACGGAAGGCCCCCGTTCTCGATCAGATCTCTGAGAGCCTCCCAGTGCGAAGCATCGAAGGGGAGGCCCCAGGAGCCCAATCGTTTGGCGAGAGTGGCCTCCAGGATATCAGGAAAGAGGGCAGCGCGGAGGGAGGAGGAGAGGATTCTCTGTTCGCGCACCCGCCCGACCCCAGCAATTTCCTCCAGGGTGGCGAGCGCAGCACGGGCGGCATCGGCGTGAGCTTTGTTCTCGAAGTTGGTCACTGCGGCCTCTGCAACAAATTTCACCACCTGGCTGGGTACGCCAGAAAGATGGCGCGAGCCAGCCCTTGCCGAGCTCCGCCAGACTGCCGTGCTCAATCACGTCCTGCTTCAGCACCTCGAGCTGGTCGTGCCGAAAAAAGATCGTAGCCCACGCCACCCACATCCTCGACGCCAGGCTGAACGCCATCATGTTCGCAGGCCGGAGCGCGGACCAGCTCGAGATGCTGGGCAGCCCCGCCAGCGGCAGCGAGTTGGGCAGCAGACTCCATGTCTTGTGCCAGGCCCACGACTCGCGCCTGACCGGCGCGGGAGGCAGCGGCACGAGCTGCACCAGATAACTCAACGTGGTGAGCACCCTCGTGTTGTAGATCACAATTGACAGATGAACCGGTGGGCCCGCACGAGCCAACTCGCGAATGCGATGGATCCACTTCGCGCCCTGCTTCTGCCAGATGTCCTCCGGCGTGGCACCTGGGCCCGGCGTGAACCCCAAGTATTCACCAAAGGGAGAGACCGTCAACGACTCTCATCCAGGCAGCACTTCTTTTATCCATGCAGTGATGCTGGCGGCCAGCTCGGGCGAGAAGCTCTCATGCAAGGGCACGACCCTGCATTTCGCGAGTTTCAGGGACAACCCCGCGAGCACCTCGGCCGCCAAAAATACCGTCCGCAAGTTGATGAGAAACCTGCGGTCAGAGAGAACCGTGCCCACGTCGTCCGCGCAGACACACACCCGGCACAGAGGCCGCGAAGTTGAACAGCTCCTCCATGTGGGACACGAAGGAGTTCATGGCCACCGCCCACAACGAGCCCGAGAGCGGGCAGCCCTGGGCGATGCCTGCCCAGATCGACATGAAGCTCCGCAGGGCACCCTCAAGGATGACGAAGGCTTGCGGGAACCAGAACATGACCAGGATCAGGTCCAAGAGGCCGCGCATGAAGCCCGCCCGACGCAGCGCAGCGTGCAAGAACGCCACGGCCAGCGACGGGAAGGCATTGCCGAAGTCGAAGAGCACCAGGATCGGCTTCCGCTGGCCCCTGGTGCTGGAGAAGCCGACCCGCCTCGCCACAGTGTCGAGGAGGGTGATGTTGTTGAGGAAGTTGCGCCCAGGCAGGAACCCCCTCTGTGAGCGAGGGGACCCGCGCTCGACGACGTAATTCAAGCGGCGGTTGACGCTGGCCGCGAGCAGCTTCACGTCAGCGTGCTTGAGAGCGAGAGGCCTGGTGGTCGCAGGCGTGCGTATGGGGCCCGAAGAAAGGTCAGCCTCCTATGTCCCCTTGGGCAGGAAGGCCATGACGTGGTCATTGAGATCAGGTGGCGACGCCGACCATGGCAATATCCTCCAGTGGCAACGGGCTCCCGCAGCGGCTCGCGTCGTACGGCAACCCGTCAGGACCAGGAGCTGAGTCGCGTGGTATATGTATATATATATATATATATATATATATATATATATATATATAATATAATATTGTAATGTGTGTGTGTGGTGATCTCTCCCTCCAGCGCCTTTTCCAATACAATACAAGACGCAAGACACAACGACCGCCTTATTTGTGCTGATCCCTACAATCGTACATGTCCATCGACATCAAACATGTGTTCGCGCGCTCGGGCACAGTATGCTGTATGCTAGCTGACTATCGTTTAACATCACAGCACCACCACGAGCAACTCAACGGACCCACAGTAGATACATGAAAATCAATGTTGATGACCCGATGCGTGTAGGACAGGCGATGGCTAAGAAATGACAGACTGTGGAGACAACCACCCCCTGGCGTTGCTGCTGCTCCTCCCGCATCCCCCAACTCCCCGTAGCATACTCCCTCATCCTGCAAAACTTCCTCCGCCTCATCCTCATCGTACTCATTCATCCTCGCGCTTCGTTGTCGCTCTTCTCCTCGATGCTCCTCTTCCTACTCATCCGTCGCCCCCCGCTCCGTCATTCATCGAACTTTGGAAAACCTACCTCAGGATTTGAAAACCTTTGGACACCTGTGCAAACATCAGATACCCTTCGCTTATCAAATGGAACACATCTGATAACGATTCATTATTCTCCGCCTGGTCCCGCTTCTCCTTTTTTGCATCCTCCTCATCACTCCAAGTCGTCTCCTGACCTGTTCTGGGGGTTGCTCGACTCCCCGACCAGGACACATCCGCGAAGGCCTCGGGGCCCGAAACCGGATGTCAGCGTCCCCGTCCAGCTCGGATCACGACGACGACGACGACGACGGCGACGGCGAAAGGCGACAACGCGACGGTGACAACGGCGGCGCCGTACCCGCAAGCACCGCCGCTGCGGCCGCCGCTAGGAGGCCTCTGGAGATCTCCACAGGCCCCCGGAGGCCAGCAAGCGCCCGCAGAACCGCGACGACGACAACGACGAAGACGACGACGACGCCAAACACGACGACGACGACGACAAACACGACGACGACGACGACGACGACGGCGACGACGACGACGACGACGCCGACGACGACGACGACGGCGACGACGACGACGACGACAAAGACGACGACGACGACTACGACGACGACGCCGACGACGACGACGGCGACGACGACGACGACTACGACGACGACGACGCCGACGACGACGACGACGAACACGACGATGGCGACGACGCCGCCGCCGCCGCCGCCGACGCCAGCGCGGCGGACCACGGGCGCACCGTCCTGGCACGGCGGCCCGCAGGGGAGGCGCTGCCGCCCAGCCGCGCCATCGTGGCCCCCGAGCCGCGCCCCCGGGCCTCGCGCCTCCGGCGCGGCGCGGCCGCTCGGCGGCTGAGCCACGCCGCCGCCGCCCCTCTCCTTCCTCCGCCTCCGCCTCCGCCTCCGCCTCCGCCTCCGCCTCCGCCTCCTCCTCCTCCTCCTCCTCCTCCTCCTCCTGCTCGTCCTGCTCCTGCTCCTCCTCCTCCTCCTCCTCCGCCTCCTCCTCGTCCTCCTCCTCGTCCTCATCCTTCCCCTCCCCCTCCTCCTCCTCGTCCTTCTCTTCCTCCTTCCTCTTCTTCATCCTCCTCCTCCTCTTCCTCCTCCTCCTCCTATCCGGTTCTGGCCGGCGCCGGAAAGTCGAGTTCCGAGGCGGCGCCGAAAAAAGGCCATTCTAATACACATTTTTCTTTTGAAAATGCTGAATTTCTGGTTCCAGCGCCCAGGAGGCCTCCCGGGCCGATTCCGACGCCCAGGCCGGCGCCCGAGCCAGCGCCCGGGCTGGACGCCCGAGCCGGCGCCAGGGCCGGCGCCCGGGCCGGCGCCGGAGCCGGTTCCGGCCGGCGCTGGAAAATCGAGTTCCGAGGCGGCGCCGAAAAAAGGCAATTCCAATGCAATTTTTTCTTTTGAAAAAGCTGAACTTCTGCCTTCCACGCTTTCCGCTCGTTCCGAATCGTGCTCCCGCTGCAACGCTGGCCTCATTTCCGCGCTTCCGCTCGTTTCGACTCGTGCTCCCGCTGCAGCGCTGGCGTCATTTCCCGCGCCATGCCACGGCATGCAATGCAATGCGAGGTTGATACTACGCTTCGCGGTGCTCTTCTACGCCATGCCATGCCGTGCTCTACAATGCATCGCGTACCCTTTCGGGATCATCGCCCTGCTTGACATCCGACTGTGCGAGTAGAGAGGGGATCTGCGCCATGGTAAGGGATGGGAAGGAGGGGTAGGATGTCAGATATGACGCGAGCGCACCTAGCTTGCCTCCTCCCCCTCCCCCTCCTCCTCCTCCTCGTCCTCCTCCTCGTCCTCCTCCTCATCCTCCTTCTTTTCTTCCTTTTCCTCCTCCTCCTCCTCCTCCTCCTCCTCCTTCCTCCTCCTCCTCCTCCTCCTCCTCCTCCTCCTCCTCCTCCTCCTCGTCCTTCTCTCTCCTCCTCCTCCTCCTCCTCCTTTTCTTCTTCTTCCTCCTCCTCCTCCTCGTCCTCCTCCTCCTCCTCTCTCTCCCTCCCTCCCCTCCTCCTCCTCCTCCCTCCTCCTCCCTTCCCCTTCCTCCTCCTCCACCTCGTCACCTCCTCCTCCTCCTCCTCCTCCTCTTCCTCTTCCTCCTTCCCCTCCCCTCCTCTCCTCCTCTCTCCTCCTCCTCCTCCTCCTCCTCCTCCTCCTCCTCGTCCTTCTCCTCCTCCTCCTCCCTCCTCCTCCTCCTCGTCCTCCTCCTCCTCCACCTCGTCTCCTCCTCCTCCTCCTCCTCCTCCTCCTCTCTCCCCCTCCCTCCTCCTCCTCCTCCTCGTCCTCCTCCTCGTCCTCCTCCTCACCTCCTTTCTCCTTCTTTTCTTCCTTTTCCTTCTCCTCCTCCTCCTCCTCCTCCTCCTCCTTCTCCTCGTCTTCCTCCTCCTCCTCTTCCCCTCCTCCTTCCCCTCGCCCTCCTCCTCTCCTCCTCCTCCTCGTCCTTCTCGTCCTCCTCCTCCTCCTCCTCCTCCTCCCCTCCTTCTTCTTCTTCTTCTTCTTCTTCTCTTCTCCTCCTCCTCCCTCCTCGTTCTCCTCCTCCCCCTCTTCCTCTTCTTCCTCCTCCTCCTCCTCCTCCTCATATCGTCCTCCCCCTTCCCCTCCTCCTCCTCCTCCACCTCGTCCTCCTCCTCCGTCTTCTTTCTTATTATTCGTATTATTAGTTTTAGTATTCTTTTTATTAGTAGTACGATTTGCATTATTTCTGTATATAAGATTATTAGTATTAGTAACATTATTAGTTAGTAGTATTACTACTACTATTACTAGTATTATTATATGTATTGTTGTTGTTATTATTAATATTGTTATTGTTAGTGGTATTGTTATTGCTATTGTTGCTGTTATTGTTATTGTAATCATTATTATCGCGCCGGCCCCAAACCGCCTTCCCCCCGCGGAGCGGCTGTAACCCCGACGAAAGACCGGGGGGCGGCGATGGGCGCAAGCCCAAGGAATTCAAAACTGACCAAAGGAACATCTTTTCTCCACGGCAGCGCAGACTCCTGAGGGGGACCTCAGCCCCCGAAAGATGCAGGGAGGCCCAGTTCGTCGAGGCCTACCTGCACGTGCCCACACTACCCAACTTCCGTTTGGTGCGGCTAGCCGAGGGTGGGAGTCGAGCAGAGCGAGACACGGGAGGGCCAAAATATTCAAGAATCTGCGCTGGGAGCCGCTGTGATATCTTCTCAGAAAGCTGCAGCTGCTGGCGAGAGAGCGAGGACCGATTGCGGAGCATCCCCGCTGGCTTTGAATAACGCAGCACAGAAGATCGGCTGAGCCACCTCCCTCGAGCCTGGAGCCTGTCAGCATCATCTTTAAACCACCAAGCATCGTGACTAGGACCGGCATGCCGAAAGGCATGAGGCGTGAGGGGAAGCTTCTCAGAAAAATGCGATCGGCGAAACTGGCGGCACAACTGTTCCCTTTGAGCGAGTGAGAGGTCGAGGAGAGGACCGGAGGTGGAGGATCGGGCGAGGGTGAGGACAAGCTTGGAGACCCACTCCCTATCATGAGCGCCCACTACTGTTGAAACATCATACTGGAAATTTTTCGCGGGCACATCCTGCGAGGCTGGGGCAACCGTCACGACGACCGGGTCTCCTGCACGACGCGGCAGCGAGACGCGGTCAGCGGCCAGCTGCAGGGCTTCCGTCGGCCGGAGGTAACAGTCCACGGCGATCCAACCGGCAGCGGCGGCCACCTTGCCCAGGTGCCCGCAGTTGTGGAACCAGAAGTCTGTGCAGAGCCAGATGATCTCCAGCGGCAACGAGTCCCTCACCTTGTCGGGGTTCGCTCGGCCAAAACCGTGGAGGGCAGCACGAGCGAGAGGGAGCGTCGCCGGCGATCGGGCTGGCAACCCGATGCAGTAGGCCGTGCCGAACACGGCGTACCGGGCGGCGCTCACGCTGTCGCCGCGAAGGAACAGCATGTCGAGGTAGCCGCCGAGGACGCGGTAACACCCGTCAGCGGTGGCGGGCAGCTGCCCGTGGAGGCCCGCCCAGGCCCGCACGTCAGAGAAGGCCCGGCGGTAGGCCGACGCCGTGGCAGGCCGCACAGCCGCCCGCCTGCAGACGCCCGGCTCGGACCCGTGGTGGCGCTCGCGCGCGGCAGCGCGGCGCCGCCGCTCTCGCCGCTGCTCGTCGGGCTCGACGATGGGCGGCAAAGGCCTCGAGCTCGACGGTCCAGTGGTCCCCGTCCCAATGCTCGATCGCGCCCTCCCAGCCGAGCCGACACCTCGACCCGACTGGCGCGAGGTCCACGCGTCGCCCGCCGGGCCAGCTCTCGACGCCCGCCGCGGCTGCCAGGCGTCGCTCCCAGCAGGCGGCGAGGGGAGCCTCCCGCGCCTGGCGCCAGGCCCTCGGCGGGGCGGCATGCCCGAGCACGTCTGCAAGAGCGCGGCACAGCTCAGGAGGATAAGCCGCAGCGTAGGCGGTGCGCCACTCCGAGGGCTGGCCCGCCAGTCGGACTTTCCCCTGGAGCCGGACGTGCGGTGCCCCGGGGCACGGGCAGCGCCGCGCGAGCCCCCCGGCGGAGGGCAGGGTGGTGGCGATGGCCGTCGGCTTCTTCCAGGGGGCGCCGAACGCGCACATGTCGAAGACCAGGTGCGCGGCGCCGAGCTTCCTGAGGGCTCGGGCGACCCCTCGGTGCTGGAACAGCCGCGACCGGGCGGGGTTCTCCAGCACCACGTGGACGCCCATGCGGTAGCAGAGCTCAAGGATGCGAACGGTGAAATCGACGCACCTCGTCGAAGGCGGAGAAGCCAACCCAGTAGTCCGGGCCGGTGTCCACCCCGTGCACGGCGTGCCGAGCAGAACGGCCCAGATGGCCCCCGCCCGAATCCACCGCACAACTTCTGTAGCAACTTTGCGATTGAGAAGATCGTGATGCCGACCGTGGCGCACATCGACAGGAACTGCGACGCGGAGGCCCAGCTCGGCGGCGGCCGCGGTCGCCCGCCCGCACCCGGCAAAGAGCTCCACGACGGCGGGCCGGGCCCGAGCGACGTCAGGGACTCGGCGGCCTCCAGCTCGCGCTCGGCCGTCAGGTGGCCCCCGCAGGGTTCCTGACCGCGCCGGGCGGCCCATGAAGTCCTGCTGTCGGTCGTGGTCCGCCTCGGGGACGGCGCCGGGGGAGGCAGCCGACGGTCCCAGGACCCTGGGCCCGGCGCCCGCGGCAGCCTCGCGCGGGCCCCGGGGCTCAGGAGCCGACCGCTCCCACTCTGGTCCGACGGCGGCCGCGAGGGGAAGCCCGCGAAGGCCCGCGCCTGAAACGCGCTGGCCAGGGCGCAGCCACCCTTGGTAGGCGAGCCTCGAGTCCTCGTCGGACGGGTTCCTGTCGGTCTCCACGTAGCGCCGGTGCCAGTACAGGCCGCCGGCGAGCTGCGCGGCCGCTGCGCGCCGTACCAGCCCCAGCAGCTCCGCGTCCCGCGCCCGCCCTCGATCAAAGGCGAGGGTCTCCGCGAGGTTGTCCCCGAAGCTGAGGACGTGGTGGCCGTGCGAGCTCGGCTGCTCCAGCTCGCGGTGGAGCCCGAGGAGGGCGGCCCGCGCCTCCTTGCAGTGGATGGCGGCCTTCCGCCTCCAGCGACCCACCACCAGGCGCCTCCACCGCCTCGGCTCCACGAACGAGTCGGCGACCATGGGGACGAGGCCGGTGACCTCCCGCTGCACGCGCGGCTGCTTGCTGTGGTGCCGGTCGCCCGCGCGAACGACGCCCGGCTGCTCGTCGAGCTCGCGCTGGAGCGCAGAGTCCAGCTCCTCGTCGACCCACTCGGAGAACGAGCCGGGGGCCGGGGGGCCCGCCACCAGGCAGCCGCGCAGCGTCTCCAGGTCGGCTCGAGCCGTCGAGTCCGTCGGCTCCACGAAGCGCCAACGCTCACGCCAGACCGCAGTTGGCCAGAGCTCGGCGGGCGACGCCTCGGCGCAGTGAAGCGCGTACCCCTCCGTCGACGCATCGCTGCAGTAACAGCGGGGCAGCATGGGCGCCGCGACGTCCACGTGCGAGAAGTGCACCAGCCCACGGGCAACCGCCAGCTCGTCCAGCACCGCGGGCGGCAGCCGGACCACGTCGCGACCACCAGTGCCCACGAACCTGTACGCCTCGCCGAAGCAGGCGAGGGCGCACCGCCGCAGGCTGAAGTGGTGCGCGAGATGGCCGAGGAGCTGCCGCACGTGGTCCCGGCTGAGCGACCTCCTGCGCAGCACCTCGCCGAGAGCCAGCCAGAGGCGCCAGGAACGCGTCGGCTTCTGGCGGGCCCACCGCCGGGCCCCGTCGAACAGGAGCCCGATGGCTTCAAAGTCCTGCGTCGGATCCACCCGCTCGTGGAGCACGAAGCCGGCCTTCTCGAGCTCGTCCACCACCTTCTGGTGCAGGGCGGCCACGGTGCTCCTGTCGGAGCCGAGGACGTTGGCGTTGTCCACGTACGGCGCGCAGACCGCGACTCCCGGGCCCAGCGGAGGCGGCGGCTGCCTGTCGCCGACCAGCACCGACGGCAGGCCCAGCGCCTCCTGCGCGCGTCTGCACGCCAGCGAGACGGCGCTGTGGCAGAAGTAGAGCGCCCAGCTCCACCCCATCGGCAACCCGCCGAAGCAAGCCTCCAGCGGGGTCTCCGGGGAGACCGGCACGTCGTGCCCGACCTCGGGGTCGAAGACGGCGTCGACCCCGACGTCGCCGGCGAGCCTGACGCGCCCCAGGCCGAAGTAGTGCGACACCGTCGGCGCCAGGAACTGGTAGAAGCCGTCCTGCAGGTCCACGGAGGCGCCCCACAGCGATGTCCCCTCCGCGGCGGCCTCGCCCACGTACGCCGGGTCGAGTACCAGCGACGCCATCGCGCTGTTGGTGGCGAGCCGCGAGTGTGGCGCTCGCCTGTGGAGCGCGTTGGCTGGCCGGCAGTCCAGCACCATACGCAGCATGCCCGTCTTCTTCTGCACGAAGAAGATCCCTGCTCGAGAGATGACCTTCCTCCGGTAGGTGATGAGCCCCGCCGCCTCCAGCTTCTCGAGGAGCCCGTCCAGCTGGTGGCGGCTGCGGAGGAGGCGCTGGTCCCAGTGCGGCAGGGTCGCTTCCTCCGGGAGCTCGTCGGAGCCGAGGGCGATCCGCTCGGGGTGGAGCAGGAACTCGCGAGCCTCGTCGTCCACCAGGTCCGCGGTGTCCCGCGGCCGGAGGGCTCCTCGAGTGACCGTGAGCTTCGTGCTGTCGTACGGCGCGACGCTGATCGAGACGTCCGGGTCGTACATGTCCTTTGTCTTGAGAATCTCCTTGAGCGCCCCGTCTGGGCACAGATCAAACTCGTCAGGCCTGGGACCAGCAGCAGATGCTGTGGTCGCCAGGCGGCGCCAGACGGCCTGCTGGCATGGCGGCAGCTGGCCCCCTGGCGGGTGGTGGTCAGGCCTCCGCGGCGGCGGAAGACCCTTGGCCCGGGCGCCGGCCAGAGCGTTGAGCGAGGCGGCCGCGTCGATGGCGAGCTCCCGCCCCGTCCCGTCCAGCGCGCCGAACACGTCGGCGACGGAGGCCGACCGTTGCCCTCGGGCGCCACGCGGCAGCACCAAAGGAAAAGCGCCCCGAGGAGGACGCAGCGCCATCCCGCGCAGCGCCGAGCCCGCCGAGGGCCCGCGTGCACCGGCGGCGACTGGGGATGGGGACGCCCCCTGCCCCCTGCTACTTGCCTCCTCCAGGCTGGCCCTTCTTGCCGGTCTCCTCGGCGAAGAGCCTCTGCTGCTTCAAAGTGAACGCCTCTGCCTTCTGCTCCTCCGCGATGAACTTCGCGAAGTCCCCTGTCGTGACCGGCGCGCCGACGTCCGGCCGGCTCGCCAGCATCACCTCCAGGCCCCTGAAGTCGGGCGACTTGGGGTTGCGGTGGACCCCCCGCTCCAGGAACAGCACCCTCCTGGCGAGCGCCTCCGCGCCCGCGAGCTGGTACGCGTCGACCTGGTCGAAGCACACCAAGTGGTGCAGGATGGACACCAGCGACGCATGATGGTGCGAGACCGCGCTCTCCCTGGCGATGCCGCTCATGCGAACCCAGTGCTCGTGATACGCCGAGAGGTCCTCCCCGCTCGCGCGGATGTTCGTCAGCAGCTCGACCACCGCCGACGGCCCGCGGAAGGGCCAGTCGTCGCCCGCCGCCCCCGAGCCCGCAGAGCCAGCTGCACCAGCGGCAGGCGGCCGGCGCTCCTTCATCTCGGCGAGGGCGTCGCGGAAGCTGAGCGCCCGATGCCCGCGAGCGTCGCGCTCGATCGCCAGCACCCTGGGGTCGCGGCCGGCCCCCGAGCGCTTCTCCTCGATCCACGCGCTCAAATCTGACATCTGGACCCGCTCGACGGCCGTCCACCTGCCGTCGTCGATCTGGGCCAGGGCGGCCGAGCCCCTCTGGACGAAGCGAGTCGGGTTGAGGGTGATCGGCACCGCGACTGCCTCCCCGAACGAGTCGGCGCCTGGGTCCGCCACCACCCACTGCGCCTGCGCTGCCCCAGGGGCGGGCACCACGCCGCCCAGGAGCCCCGCCAGCGCTGTGGCCTGGCGTTGCAGCTCCGCCAGCTCCTCCTCCGTGAGGGGGTCGAAGAGGAACACGTTGTTCCGAACCCGGTCGGGCACGGGGCAGCCGCGCGTGAGGGGGACGACCTGGTGCCCGGCGAGGTCGATCACCTGCACCGAGTGGGTTGGCGTCGCCCCCGCCCACTTCGCGCCATCTGGCAGCTTCGCCAGCAAAACGCGGTGGTGCCACCGAAAGTTCGGGTCGTCGTCGTAGTTGATCGCCACCTGGGGTGGCTCGATGTCCAGCGCCACCTGCGCCATCACAGCTTGCGGCTCCGCGGCCGCCAGGTCTCAATCTCCGATGGCGTCGTCGATCCCGACGGCGAAGTCGCGCCCGCTGCAGTGAGCGCCAGAGGAGAGCTCCCAGCAGCACGAAGAGGACGGCCAGGCTCGAGAGGCTGGAGGGGGGCGGCCGGGCCCTCTCCAAAGCTGGCGCCGCCAGCGGCAGCCCCAGCGACGCGGCCGTGACCCCACAGCCGGCAGGCGCGGGCCCCGTACAGGCCGAGCGCGCCGATGACAAGGCCGCCGAGGGCCCACCACGCGCCCGTCCAGCCGCCTCCGCAGCTGAGAGACGGGCAGGCCGGCGCGACCAGCGCCGGGCACGCCGGCACCACCGGCGCCGGGCAGGCCGGGCACGCCGGCGGGGCGCACGCGGGACAAGGAGGGCAGGCGGCCTCCTCCCACGTGCAGTGGCCGACGCGCGCGTCGGCAGCCGGCTGCGCCGGCTCAGGGGAGCCCAGCCACGAGCCGGCGAAGGCGCCCAGCGAGGCGGCTATCGCGGCGAACGGGCTGGAGCGAAGCATACACCCTGGTTTGGCTCGCTGAGCCAAAGCAGCTTGAGCCAAAATGACGTCGGGGGCGGCTACGATAGGGGAGCGATAATGTGACGCACATCCAATTGTTATTATTGTTAGTCGTGTTATTGTTCGTAGTATTACTACTAATGCTAATATTATTAGTCTAACCATCACCATTACTATTATTAGTATTATTATTATTGGTATTATTAGTATTAGTATTCATAATAATATGTTTATCATTGTTATTATTAGTATTACTGTTATTATTGATGATACTAATAATATGGTTACTATTATTAATATTACTTATGATCGTCCTCCTCCTCCTCGTCCTCCTCCTCCTCCTCCTCCTCCTCCTCCTCCCACTCCTCTTTCTCCTCCTCCTCTTCCTTCTCCTCCTCCTCCTCCGTCTCCCCCTCCCCCTCCTCCTCCTCCTCCTTCTTCTGCTTCTTCCTCCTCCTCCTCCCGCTTCCTTTTTCTCCTCCTCCTCCTCCTCCTCCTCCTCCTCCTCCTCCTCTTCCTCGTCCTCCTCCTCCTTTTTCTTCCTCCTCCTCCTCATCTTTCTCCACCGCCGGGAGGCTGCTGAGCTTCTGCGCGGCGGGGCCTCTCTCCAGGCCTCGGGGGTCCAACGGTCTCCCTCGACGTCATGGGGCCCCACTCGTTCCACCAGAAGAAGAAAAACGCTACAAACATGGAAACTTTTGGCGTTCCGCGCGGATTCAAGAACTCCGCACGGAACGCCAAACGTTTATGTTTATGGCGTTTTGTCGCCTTCGGTTCACACCGGGCGCTCCGTCGCCCCATCTCGGGCACCACGGTCCTCTGCGAGCCTTGAGGCAGGGTGCCGTCGACTATACGCAAGAGTGACCCTGGATAAACGTGACCTTTGGTGCGCGGTTTTCCAGGGGCCGCGGAGGGACCAAACTGGGACCAACCACAAGCGCGCAAGACGCTACTATCGCATCAAGCTCGGCGGTTGGGGGACCCGAATGGGCCAGCACCAAGGGTCACTCTGGTGAGGGGTCACTCCTACGCGTAGATGATGTCGGCGTACCCCAGAAGTTCAATGTTGACGCCGGGGCAAACGGCTTCATGTAATTTTCGTCGGCGTCCGCAGACCGCGCCGCGTGCGCCGCTGAGCTCCAAGAGGCCTCGGCGAGAACGCCAATTCATTGATTTTACTACGGTTTTAGCCACAGGTTGGCCTCTTCTTGGGGGGGGCACTGATTGAGATGACTCCAAAAGCGCCTGGGGGAGCCCAAGATGACCTCCTAGATGGCTCAAGATATCCCAACATGTCTCATAGTGGCTCCCACGATACTCCAAGATGCCCCAAGACCGCTCCAAGACGGCTCCCAGTGGCCAAAGAGCCCCCCCAGGAGGCCTCGAAGAGGCCCAAACCTTAGGAAATTCGATGTGGTTGGCTTTCTCGCCTTTTCGTTCCGATGGCCATCCGAGGCCTCAAGATGGCTCCAAGATGGCCCAAGAGGGCTCCAACATAAGCTCCAGGGAGCCCCAAGACGGCCCCAAGAGCGCCTAAGAGCGCTCCAAGAGCGCCCCAAAAGGCGATTGTTTGGGCTCCCGAGGGGCAACGCTAACTAATGCTCGCTTCGTGTTTGATCGATGTCCCCCAAGATGGCCCCAAGAGCGCTCCCAAAGCTCCCAAGAGCGCTTCAAGACGGCCCCAAGAGGCGCCAAGGAGGCCCCAACTGGCTCCCAAGATGCCTCCAAGATGTTTCCAAGAGACCCCCGGGAGGGCCCAATAAGCTCTCCGAGGCACCCAAGACGCTCCAAAAGACCTCCACTGGGGGACCCTTCCTCTGTGTGCTGCCCACTTCCCTGATCGAGGCAATTCCTCTGGGCATCGTTTCTGGATGGGCTGGTGGGGTTACTTTTCAGTCAGCGGCCGCAGGCGAGCGCGCCAGCGGCGAGTCCAGTCAGAGCGGGGCGCGCAAAGACGAATTAACCTAAAGCGGTGGGCCGGGGCCTCACGCAGCACCTCGGCGGCGGGCGGGCGAGGAGGATACCAGTACTGCCAGGGTGCACGCATGCAACGCGTCGAAAGCAGCAGGCGGCCAGGGTAACAGGCGACCAGTCTGGTGGGGGTACTTTTTAGTCAGCGGCCGCGGGCGAGCGCGCCGGCGGCGAGTGAGGTCAAAGCGGGCTGCGCAACGACTGGTGGGGTTACTTTTTTGGTCTGCGGCCGCGCGACAACGGTCTGGCGGCGAGGGGCAATGTCCAGGGCGGGCGGCACAATGCGAATTGGCGACCCCAACCGCCACGTTGGCAGGCCGGTTCGCACCTGCACAACAAGCGCGCAGTTGCGCATGCACTGAACAAAAGGCTCTGCATTCACCAGCAGACGCACCTAGGCGCCGCACTGTAAACCAAAGTGAACAAGCGGCCGCGGGTGCGAGTGCAACGGAGTGAGTCGCCGGTGCGGCGCCAAACTCCAAGCAGCCAGCCCGGCTAGCTAAGAGACACGAGCCCGGGAAACCGGGCTGCCGGCGGTGGAAAACAAGAGGCAAAGCGAGCGCGGAAGGCTGAACCACTCAGCGCGCAGCCCTCAGCGCGGAAGGCTGAACCACTCAGCGCGAAAAGCTGAACCACTGGTGGGGTTACTTTTCCGGTCGCGGCCGCGAGACGACGGTCAGGCGGCGAGAGCAAAATCTGGGACGCGAACAAGGCGAATTAGCAACAACTGGTGGGGTTATTTTTTTGGTTGGCGGCTCCCAGGCGAATGTCGAGGAACGGGGCATCGAACGGGGCGCGAAGCGAAGATAATTGGCCGCAGTGGCATATGCACACGCGAGGGACAAAATGACCCAAATTACACGCCCAGGCCGGCGCAGACATCCCGGCGATTGGGGACCACTACGCGGCGACCGCAGCGAGATGGCGACGAGAAACGCCCTAAGGCGCCAGGCACCAGCCAGCACAACGTGACCAGGTGATCAAGCCGAGCATCCCGACGGGTGGGGACGAGCGCGGCGACCGGCACAGGGACGGTACTGGAATGGCAAGAGGAAGTCGCCCTGGCGGCGCCTGTCCCCGGCCGATTAACACACGTAAGCGAGGCCAAAGCGAAGAGAAAAGGTTCAGCGAACGCCAGCCGGGGCAAACGGCAGCGCCAAGAAAAGAAGGGGCAGCAAGCAGAGGAGGGTCTCACTCACCATGACTCACTGTCGCAAAGATGTGGCTGAAGCCCGTCCTTCGCAAGCGAAGGGGGCGACCCCGGTCTGCGCACGCGAGGTAACTGGTGGGGTTACTTTTTTTTACAGCCGCAGGCGGAAGCGCCAGCGGCGGGAGGTCGCGGGCGGGCTACGGCCGCGACTAAATTGCCTAGCGCGCGCGAGGGCCGTGGATCAGGCGGCGAGGGAGGCAGCGCCCAGGGCGGCAGCCGACGTGCAATCCAGGGAGACTGAGACAGCCCCAGGACGGGCATGCAACGGTGCATCCAACGAGCCTGAGGACAGGCAACGAGGAGACCAAGCGCCGCCAAAATGGCGCGTGAGGCGTTCCCAGAAGTCCAGATGCGAACAGAAAGGAACGTTCCCGAGGACATCGATCCAGGGAGTCTGACGGGTACCACAGACTGACTGGGGACATAAGTCCAGCGGAAAATTCTGGCGGTGACACGAAGTCGCGACGCCAAAACGCGCATCCAGGGCGTGGAGCGTGACAGGAGAACCTTCCACAACTGAGATGCGTCAGCCCAGATCCAACGAGTGGAAGGGCACCGTAGTGCACGATACACGGTCGACCACGTGGCGTGTGCACATCCAAAGTGTCTCAGCGCTACCCAAACCGAGTCGGATAGCACCCGAGGGACGGGACCTTCGCATACCCAAGACGCATCCCTCAGAGCCACTTCGATCCAGGGTCACGGCGGAAGACCGTTCAGCATTTCCAGAGGACATCGATCCAGGGAGTCTGACGGGTAACACAGACTGACTGGGGATATAAATCCAGCGGAAAAACCTGACGGCGAATCCAAGTCGCGACGCAAGAACGCGCATCCAGGGTGTGGAGCATGATGCCAGGAGAACCTTCCACAACTGAGATGCGTCAGCCCAGATCCATCGAGTGGAAGGGCGTCGTAGTGCACGATACACGGTCGACCACGCTGGTGGGGTTACGCGAAGCGTCTAGAATTTTCGTCGGCGTCCGCGGACCGCGCCGCGCGCGCCGCTGAACCTTGAGCATGGGGGGACAGAAGGGTAGGTAAAACTTGCTTCCTCAGGTTCGCGGCGGGATGCAGGACCCTCACAAATCCATCCACCTCGAGGAATGCCAGCTCCGGCCGTGATTGTTCAATCGGTTGCACAGTTGTTCGCGACGCCAAATCTCAGGGTCCGACGCCGTGGGCATTCAGTCTCGACGCCATTCTTTTCGGCTTCGGCCTCAGGAGTGCCGCTAACGGGCCCCGGGGCCATCAAGCATGGCTCCAGGGCGGAGAACTAACCCCGGACAAGGGGTTCCAGAGCTCTGGGTCCGCGGACTTTTGGTAGACAAAAAACATCGGATCAATTCTCGCTGCGTCTGGGAGGTCTTCGATACTCTTTCCTTGGTGCTCTGAAAGGTTGTATCGCCTCGGATGCTTGCCCGCAGTTGCGCCTCGACAAAGTGGGCCCGGGGGTGCCCGAAGTCGAACGGCCGACGACGGCCTGAGATTAGGCAACCACATGCGAAACCTACCCCTGCAGGTCAGATTTCAAATAAACAGGCTAGGTTTCAGAATCCCAGCAGCCCTTCAGGGCATGGGTGGTTTTAGGGCGTTTCCTCTTCCAACCCCCCTTCTTCCCCTTCGGAGAGGGGCTTATCACTGTTCCCACTTACTACACACCCCCTACCTAAGGCGACCGGCAGCCAACCAGGACCAATGAGGACCCCCCACCACCATCCATGTCAAAAGACAATGTGAAATCCAATGCGGGGCAAAATCTTGGGTCATGATCGGGGGGGGGGCGCGAGCACTTTGCATTGTTTTTTCAGGCAGGGGCGTCGGGGTACAGGCATATTGCCTGCTGCGCGCAGTGCCACATCCCTGCCAAAAAACAACACAGATGCACTTCGAGGCAAAATCTGGAGCATGCACGGGCACCCCGCGATCACTATGCATTAACTTTTGATTGGGACGGCCAAGGTACTGGCATATTGCCTGCTGTGTAAAGGCCCACCAGAGACACTATGATGGCCTCCCCGCCGCGATTGCGCACTCGTTTTCGACACGGGTAGTAGGGGCCGACAGAATTCCCGATGTGTACTGCCACGTGCGCAGGCGCACCTGGAACACTATGCCCCGAACGTGGCGTACCTGGCGCGGCTAGAATATGCGGCACGCGTGGCGCACGTGGATCATGTGGCGCATCTGGCGCACCAGGCGTGCCTGGTACGCTTGGGCCACAGGGGGGCCTGGCGCACCTGACGGGCGTGGCGTGCCTGGCACGCGTGGCGCACCTCGCCCCAGCGTTGCGAACATTGCACCTGTTGAAGTTTCCGTGTTCGTTGCCCATCCGAAGACGACCGCTGAACATGCTGAGGCCGGGGTGCTACTTACACCCCCAAGACGAAAGGTTGTTCCTCTTGGGTCCGAACATGGTGCCTTCAACTCTCGCGCCAGCGCGCGCGAAGTTAACCTTGGCGGATCCAATTGAGTTGGTGCGGGCCCGAAGTTGGTTTGGATTTGTGCCGCGGTGGATCAAATTTCTTCCGCCAGACGCTTTGCGTCTGGCGGCACCGATGCTCTCGCCAACCGCACGTCGCCGCTGGCGCCTCAACAACAAAATCCTTCGTCCTGCGTGAGTATGTGGTGGATTTCGGAAACCCT